TTTTTACTAGAGCTTCCCTGTTAACTTATTAATTAATAAAATGGTCCTGTGAATTAAGCTTAAAACAAATAACTTTATGCTTATTTCTATAATTATCTACTTTTATAGATTCTTTTTTAATATAATGTTGGCCTAAATGAGTTTTGTATTGGAAATTAAACTACAATCAGATAATTTTGTAAAAAGACAGGTTTACTTAGGCTGAGCATGGTGGCTCAAACCTGTAATCCCAGCACTTTGGGAGACCAAGGTGGGAGGATCCCTTGATGCCAGGAGTTCAAGGCTGCAGTGAGCCATGATCACTCTACTGCATTCCAGATTAGGTGACAGGTGACAGAGTGAGACCTCATATCTTAAAAATAATAAAATTTTTAAAAACATTTTTCAAAAAGTTTATTGCTGTGGCTTCTAGCATCTAAAATCCAAACTTGAAAACATATTTACATATCACAGCTAGGCTCCTCAAGGTCTCAAGAAAAAGAGACACACATGATTACCTTTATTGGTATAGTTTTGTTGTATAGGAACATACAGGCAAATGACATAAATGATTAGTTAGGAGGAGAAAGTGATTGCCTCTATGGAGAAAGTAAACAGTGAAGCAGTAACAGTAACAAATCTTAGAGAACTGTTTGATTCTTTGCTCCATCTTGTTTTTCAATTTGATTGTTTATTAACTTCCCACTGTGAAAAAATTAGAATTGGATTTTCCTCTTCTCCCACTTTTGAGCACCATTCCTGTCCTCTAACCTCTCAATGTCATAATTCTGGTTAGAGCAGCATTCAGTGTTGATGTTATGACTGTAGACACTATTTACAGCTGAACCATGTAGTAAACTATCCTTACTTTACCTGCTTTCCTGTAGTCATTGTTTTCGCTTGTTATTTTGGATAATTTTCTGTGTATTTATCACTAATTTAACTCTGAGTATATAAATCTTGCCTCAGAGTGTTTAAATATCACAGATTCAATTTCATCTTCTGGAAGAACCTTCCCTTTAAGCCTTCCAGCTAATAACTTGCTCCTTGTTTTCCTCCAGGCCTGGTGCTAGTGTCATCTTAGAATTCCCTGCACTCTCGCCGGGGGCTTCCCTTTGCCTCTCTCCAGTGTTGGATCTTCTTTCTCCAGTGCCCCGTAACTTTCTTAAAACCTTCTCTGTCTGGGTGGAACCCATCTCCGATAGCTTCCTGAGAAATAGTGAATTTTTGAGACCTTACATGTCTAAAAATATCCTTATTTAATCTAACTTGATTTAAGGTATTTATGAGTATCGATTCCAAGTTGAAAGTCTTTTTCTCAGTATTGTCTACAAAGTTTCATTTCCTTCTGGTTTCAGTATTACAATAGAGAAATCTAAAGCCCTTCTGATTGCTGAACTTTTTTGGCCCCTGGCTTTTGCTTTTTTCCTTCTAGTCCACTGTATTCTGAAATTTCACAGTGATTCCTTCATCTTAAAATACTCAGTGTGCAAAGGTGCCATATTTTCACAATGGTGTGTCCTGAGTCCCATCATCAGAAAAAACTCAGAGGAGTTGACTGTAGTTTTAGTCAAAGCAAAGTCTTTGCCAATCTTTGATAGGCCTTTTCAGTCTGGAAATATGTTCTTCAGTTCTAAAAATTTTTCTTGAGTTGCTTATTTTCTCTCGTCTCTTTTGTGCTGTTTCATTTACTAAAATTTCTTTTGTTAGAACTCCTGTACTACTCTATTTTTTTCTCTCATTTTTCATCTTTTGGCCTTTTTACTATATTTTCTGGGAGAGTTTTATTAACATTATCTCCTAATCTTACAACATGTTTTTATTTCTGTTCTCAGATTCTTAATTTTCAGGAACTCTTTGTTTCCTAAATATTCCTTTTATACAAACCTATTCTTGTTTCATAGTTGCAATTTCTTCTTTGTTGGCTGAGGGCATTATATTCTATGGGGTTTGGTTGTATTGTTTTGGAAATTTTCTTCATAATTCGTTGCCTCTACATTCCTTTGTTTGCTTGTTCATTTTTATTCACCGTCTTAAACATGACTTTCCAACAAGATGACTAGTAATCCTGATTATCTTGTGATGTTTACTAATTATGTTCTGATGGAAACTACAGAGCTATTTAGGAGCTTTGAGAATGTAAGGGGGAGTCCTTTGTAGGTTATAAGCCTCACTGCAGGATAATCTGGATGAGCTCTCCAGTTGGGAACCTTCCAACACTGGTATCATAGAGTCTTTCCTCCTGAGCAGGTGAAATAACTTAGAAAAAGACTCTTCTAATCTTCATGTAGGGTAAAGGCCTAACTGCCAGAATTATGGAAGCTGAGTGTATAAGGAAGATTTAGGAATCTACATATATTCTTGTAGTCTTTCTTTCTTTCTTTTTTTTTTTTTTTTAATGTCACTTCCTTCATCTGTGCCTGTGTTTTACCCCCTTCAAAGATTAGATCTCCAGCCTTTCCCTTAGTGAGATTGGGGCACTTCTCGACTCAAAGTGGGAAGAGACTCTGAGGATCTGTATGTTTGTTGAACAAACTTTCAACAGACTTCTTATTTCAGCCACCCTTCCTTCCACTTCACCCTCCACTTCCAGATTTCTCGTATCTTCAGACTTTGAGGAATTCTGCAATGCAAATCTGATTGGTTTTCAGCTTTCCCCACTGCCTATTTAGCCTTCCATTTCCTCATGTCTGATAAGTCACTTATCACTCATCTATATGTCATCACGTCTGCCCTATTCCCACAGAATATTCTGTTATTGGGAAGATTTATTAAATATTTTCCAAGCATGGCCAGGTGCAGTGGCTCACGCCTGTAATCCCAGCACTTTGGGAGTCCAAGGCAGGCAGATCACTTGAGGTCAGGAGTTTGAGACCACCACCCTGAACAACGTGGTGAAACCACATCTCTACTAAAAATATAAAAATTAGCCAGGTGTGATGGTGGGCCCCTGTAATCCTAGCTACTCAGGAGACTGAGGCAGGAGAACTGCTTGAACCTGGGAGGTGGAGGTTGTAATGAGCCAAGATCGCACCACTGCCCTCCAGCCTGGGCAACAGAGCAAGACCCTATAAAAAAAATTAGATAGATAGATAGAGATATAGATATATATTCCAAATACATAAAAACTCAATACTGACTAGAATAGATAGGTAGTTATCCTCTTAAATTAAATATAATTTAAATCATATTTCTTCAGACATTTATTGCTATTTCCTGTGATTTATTTATGTAAAATGGAGAGGTTAATAATACCCACCCCAAAGTAGTGTGAAGATTAAATGTATAATACATGTAAATCCCTGAAGAGAGTGGAAAGCAATATATTTCTAAAAATAGCTACTACTAAGTACCAAACACTAAGTGTATAAAAATGAAAATGAAGTAAGAGTCCTGCCCTTCCAGAACTCATAACCTTGTGAGGTAGAATAGTTAACAAATAAAACAATGTGAAGCCTACAGAATAACATATAATTCAAAGTAGAAGAATAATATACAGGCAACAGTGACCAGTACAGAGAATTGTCTGTATATTGCTGAGAAGTCAGGGGGTGCTTTGCAGAACAGATTATTTGAACTCAGCTCTTTGTTTATCTGGTTTATTGTTGGCATAGTAAGGAAATTTAATGTAAATGTAAATAAGAATTTTTTAAACAAAATACCTGTCATACTTTAAAAGTATTATCAGTTTTGTCAACAAAAACTGAAAATTGGAGAAGAGGAAATAAAAGCATGCTAAATTTCTTATGTAGGATAGACTTTATTTAAAATTTTTAATTAGAGAGAAAAAAATAGATTAAAGAGTCTTTTTCCGACCACCTACTGCCTGTTAAGAAAGTTTCTTTTAAGCTTTTAGATAATAACTACTAAAATAAATTTTTTACCATTTATTAAGCATGCAACTTTGTGCCACCTACTATGCTAAGCACTTAAATACTTGTCTTTGAAAATATATAATGATGCCAGCCTGAGCAACATAAAGAGACCTTGTCTTTACAAAAAATAAAAATAAATTGGCTAAGCATGGTGGCACATACCTGTGCTCCAAGCTACTTGGGAGGCTGAAGTGGGTGAACTGCTTGAACCCAGGAGTCTACAGTGAGCCAGGATCACGCCACTGCACTTTAGCCTAGGTTACAGATACACCCTATCTCAAAAGTAAATAAACGTGTGTGTGTGTGTGTGTGTGTGTGTGTGTGTGTGTGTCTGTGTGTATAAAATGATATGAACATATATAATGATGTAGGAAAATACAATATAGTAAGCTAAGAATTCAAAAATCAGGTATTAAAACAATATCAGTTTTTATTTTAAAATATAAACATGCATAGAAAACTAAAAATATATATATTATATAATAATAAAAACACTCCCTCTGAGGAATAGAAATGATTGTTGATGTTCATCTCCCTTAAACACTTCCCTTTTCTATTTTCGAAATTCGTTATAATCAGTGCTTATTACTTACAAAATAAGAAAAAAGGTGGGAAGCCGGATGAAGTGGCTTATACCTGTAATCCCAGCACTTTAGGAGGCCGAAGTGGTAGGACTGCTTGAGTCCAAGAGTACAAGACCAGCCTAGTCAGTATTGTGAGATACTGTCTCTACAAAAAATAAAAATAAAAATAAATTAGCCAGGTTTGGTGGCTCACACCTGTGGTTCCAGCTACTCAGAAGGCTGAGGTGGGAAGATCATTTGAGCCCAGAAGATTGAGCCTGCAGTGACCTGTGATCTTGCCTCTGCACTGCAGCCTGGACACAGAGTGAGACCTTGTCTCAAAAAAAAGAAAAAGAAAAGAAAAAGTATGGGAAAAGTATTAAATTTTACTTGACAGTGAGAATCTTGGTTTAGTTAAAGGGGGAACTGTTCTAATGATAATTTTCAGTGGGTACAAGAAAAAGAAGCTTTTTAACTTGTCTGTTTATTTGTGTCTAAAAATAAGGACAGAAAATAATTCTCATAATGTCTTTTAAGCCTCAGTTCATAATTGTTATTATTCCTTATTTCTTCTTTCAACCAGAGTTCTGTATACACCTGGCCACACTGATGATCATATGGCTCTACTCTTAGAAGAGGAAAATGCTATCTTTTCTGGAGATTGCATCCTAGGGGAAGGAACAACAGTATTTGAAGACCTCTATGATTATATGAACTCTCTAAAAGAGTTATTGAAAATCAAAGCTGATATTATATATCCAGGTGGGTAATTTTTTATTTTTTATGTTTTTAAATAGAGACAGGTCTTGCTATGTTGTCCAGGCTGGTCTCAAACTCCTAACCTCAGGCAGTCCTCTCCCCTTGACCTCCCAGAGTGCTGGGTTTACGGGCATGCCAAAGTGGATAGTTTTTCAAACCTAGCAAACCATTTGTGTCAAATGATGAGGAAGATTCATTTTGGCTTGTCTCTCTATGTATTTGTCCTTGAAGAGATAATATATAAGTCCAGGCTCAGTGGCTCACGCTTGTAATCCCAGTACTTTGGGAGGCCAAGATGGGCAGATCACAAGGTCAGGAGTTCGAGACCAGCCTCGTCAATATGGTGAAATCCCGTCTCTACTAAAAATACAAAAATTAGCTGGGCGTGGTGGCACGTGCCTATAATCCCAGATACTTGGGAGGCTGAGACAGAAGAATCACTTGAACCCAGGAGGCAGAGATGGCAGTGAGCTGAGATCGTGCCACTGCATGCCAGCCTGGGCAACAGAGAAAGACTGCGTCTTAGAGAAAAAAAAAAACATACAAACTATTTCTTTAAAATATACCCCTCTTTGGGAGGCTTAGGTGAGTAGATCTCTTGAGGTCAGGAGTTCGAAACCGGCTTGGCCAGCATGGTGAAACCCTGTCTCTACTAATAATACAAAAATTGGCCAGGTGTGGTTGTAGGCACCTGTAGTCTCAGCTACTTTGGAGGCTGAGGCAGGAGAATTGCTTGAACCTGGGAGTCAGAGGTTGCAGCCTGGGCAACAGAGCGAGATTCCATCTCAAAAAAAAAAAAAACCCTAAGTCTTGTCTAGCCATGTAAAGAGAAGGGGTGGAGAGTCATATTAATAACTTTTGATAAAGATATGAGGTTTCTTTTTCAACATAAATACAGTTATTAATAGAACTGCTGAACAAAAGAAATAAGCTTACATTGAAATGGGAAAATATTTTCATTCCATAAGCTACCATCATTTTTGTTAAATTGATTTCTATTTGGACCACATTTTAGCTATGTAACTTTGAGTAATGTTTAACCTCTGAGCTTTTTAATTTACAATACTGAAATACCAATAGCTTCTATATCAACTATAAAATGATATCTTTATTTCCATTCTCCAGAAAAAGAAACATGTTAATATCTTAGTTCTCACTAGACTGCTCTACAATATGAATCTCTCCTTCACCTTAAGAGCTAAGAAATGCCTAGGTGCAGTGGCTCATGCATGTAATCCCAACTTTTTGGGAGGCCAAGGCAGGCGAATCACCTGAGATCAGGAGTTAAAGACCAGCCTGGCCATCATGGCAAAACCCTGTCTCTACTAAAAATATAAAAATTAGCCAAGCATGGTGGTGGGTGCCTGTAATACCAGCTTCTCAAGAGGCTGAGGCAGGAAAATCACTTGAATCTGGGAAGCAGAGGTTGCAATGAGCGATCACACAACAAAGTATGACTCCTCAAAAAAAAAAAAAAGCTAAGAAAGAGGACCCAACAAAAAGGCCCAAAAGGAAAAAGAGACTAGGTCACTTAATTTTCTAAGTTCTTCTAACTTGCTCCTAACCAAACCATTGAAAGATCCATCCATCCAATATCTTCAACACATTTATACTCTGCAATGTGTTCCTACTGCTGGGGGAATAGAAAACATAAAGTAGAGCTGGGCATTTAGAGTAATATGACATTAAGTGGTTGGAGGCTGATAGCTTTGGGGGGTTTTGTTTGTTTTGCTCTGTTTTTGCTAAAGACAGCTATTTTTAAAGAGAAGAGGGCAGATGTTCAGTGAATTCACATTCAAGTTAAGCTAATGAGAGGCTGCATAGTAGCGATTAATCCAGTGAACTGGCTTACTAACACATCAGTTGTTTATATGTAAATTATGCTCTGTAGCCATACCTACCATATATTAAAGCCTTCTAGCCATCAGGTTTTGTGCAGGGGCCTTTACAGTTGTCATCCTCACCGAAACCCTGTAAAGTAGGTGTTTCCTCACCACACAGCAAAAGAAACAGCTTAAGAGAGTTTCAGAGACATCCTCATTTTATTAGCCACACAGTGAATAAATGATAGGTCTGTGTCTAACCAGATGCTGTAATAGGTTAGCCTGCTTCTGGATATTTTGTTTTCAGATATTTGAGAACATCCTTCTTGCAGACTTGTGTAATATATAATATTAATGTGTACTATTTTGAAGTGGAAGTAAATTATAGTATAACTTAATCTGGGTTGTCAAAATTTCTGACATACATAAGCCTATACATAGTATTCTTAAAGTTCTGTGGGTCTTGTGAATTTTAAATAAATCTTGGTCACGTACATGAAACTGCTTTTTACATTCTCCTTTTGCGGTATTTTATACGCTTAGCCTAATGGTTGAGAGCACAGAGTGGTTAAGAGATCCTGTCGGAATCCTAGCTCCACCCCTTCTTAGCTATGTAACTGTGGATAGATTATTTACCCTCTGTACGCTTCAGTTTCTGCCATAGGAAAGGTGTAATAATTGTACCTACTTCATGGGATTCTGTGGCCTCAGTGGCCTCTGAGAATATCACTGTATGACAGCACTATGTGGCAGTCAGTGTAATTCAGTTTTTCCGCAAATGTTTATTAGATGTCTGCTGTGTAGGTGGCATAGCTTAGAGGTTAAAAATGTTAGCTTTTGTGGCCAGGCATGGTGGCTCATGCCTGTAATCCAGGCATTTAGGGCAGTGCCTAGCACATAGTGAGCACTCCATAAACATTACCTATTGTGATTATTGTAGTTGCTATTTTTATTGCTGTGTTTTATTGTTAAATTTTTATTCCATATTTTTAATATATACAATATTTTCTCTAGATTGTATTTACTATAATTTTCTAATTGGGGGTCATTGTATATAATTTTTAAATCTCTTTCACCTGTATAGCTTTGCAAATAGTTCATATTTGACATTTACTATACTTTTTCAATATACCATATGAATTATTTTTAAATGGAGTGAGTTAGCTTCGGTTATACTTAATATTTTTTTATCTGGCTGAATTAACTCTCATAATTATTTTAATTTCAGGACATGGCCCAGTAATTCATAATGCTGAAGCTAAAATTCAACAATACATTTCTCACAGAAATATTCGAGAACAGCAAATTCTTACATTACTTCGTGAAAACTTTGAGAAATCATTTACAGTAATGGAGCTTGTCAAAATTATTTACAAGGTAACTTTCAGTTTTATTTGTATATAGCCACAAATTTATTAGAATTATTTATTTAGTAGACTATAGAAATGGTAAACGTATCATATCCCAGATCAGAAGTTATGTCACTTTTCTAGATTTGAGACCAGTCTAAACTTTCTACAATGCTAAAATTAAACAAAAACTGGCCTTAGAGAACAAAGATAGCCATTTCAAGCCATCAATGAACTTTATATATTTAACTATGTAGGAGAAACTACCAAGAGCCTGATGATTACATTTTGTAATAATTTTTGCATTATTCTAGCCATCTTGATTATCTGCTGTCCTAGCCTGCACCGAGAGGAGGGGTGACCTGCTAGAGACAAATATTGGGATGATAACAGTGAGAAGTAGTAGCAAAGCAGTGAGAAATAGTAGCAATGCCAAACAATGAAGAAAAGGGAAAAAAAAAAATCAAAGAACATGAGTAAAGTATTATGTAGGGAAAAAGCTTTACACCTCAGTGGCCTCTGAGAATATCACTGTATGACAGCACTATGTGGCAGTCAGTATAATTCAGTTTTCAGCAAATGTTAATTAGATGTCTGCTGTGTGGGTAGCATAGCTTAGAGGTTAAGAATGTAAGCTTTTGTGGCCAGGCCTGGTGGCTTATGCTGTAATCCCAGCATTTTGGGAGGCTAAGCGGGAGGGTTGCTTCAGCCCAGGAGTTCAAGACAAATTGAGGCAACATAGTGAGACCTCATCTCTGCAAAAAAAAAAAAAAAAAAAATGTGATGGAGTTTCACTCTTGTTGCCTAGGCTGGAGTGCAATGGCATGATCTCAGCTCACTGCAACTTCCACATCCTGGATTCAAGCAATTCTCATGCCTCAGCTTCCCAAGTACCTGGGATTATAGGCGCATACCACCATGCCCAGCTGATTTTTGTGTTTTTAGTAGAGACGAGGTTTCTCCATGTTGATCAGGCTAGTCTTGAACTCCTGGCCTCAGGTGATCCGCCCACCTCAGCCTTCCAAAGTGCTGGGATTACAGGTATGAACCACTGCACCCGGCCCAAAACATTTTTTACATGAGCCAGGCATGGTGGCACATTCCTGTGATCTCACCTGCTCAGGTGGCTGAGATGGGAGGATCACTTGAGCTTGGGAATTCAAGGCTGCAGTGAGCCAACATCGCACCATTGCACTCCAGCATAGGTGACAGTGCAAAACTGTATCTCAAAAGCTTTTTTAAAAAAATTAAATTTAAATTAAATTATACAGAAATATTATCCTGTAACATAACAAATAAATTATAGGGCCAACTGTCTGTGGCATCATCAAAACATTCTAAGAATAATTTTTACATTTATTCATTCATAAAATATTAATGTGTTTCTGCTATGTATTATGCTAAACACTGAATATTTAGTAATGAACAAAACTGATACTGCCACTGGGCCGGTAACAAGAGCGATACTCCATCTCAAAAAAAAAAAAAAAAAAAACAGATACGGCTACTGTCTTTATGGTGCTTACAATCTATTCTATCTATAGGAATAGATAGAATATAAAGCAAGATTTATACAAAGTGAAATTGTTTAGGTTATTGCTAGTTAAAAATGTGTTTAAGGTAAACTTTTATTACATTTTACTTTTCTTAAAAGCTTTCAAAAATTAACTGTTTTTTAAAAATATATATATAATTTTTTTCACCCTCATTCTTTTAGAATACTCCTGAGAATTTACATAAAGTGGCTAAACATAATCTCTTGCTTCATTTGAAAAAACTAGAAAAAGAAGGAAAAATATGTAAGTATGCTTCCAAATTTTCTTGTTACCAGCATTTAAAATATTTTTACAGATGCCCGAGTTTCCTTTGAGGAAAAATAATACCCATCAAAGTTCTCCCATGAATATCACTTTAAGTTGGAGAGACAGATACTAGGATGGTCAGTAGCACAAGGCCAGTTGACCACAAACTGGAACCAAAAGCTCACATGGGAATTAGAATCTCAGTTGGAATTCCAATCCTACCCACCAGAATGGCAATAGAAGACATGTAGTAGGAAGATAACTTCTCCCAGACCCCAAAACTACAAAGAACTTTACATGTGGTAGATTTGGGAACAGCCAAAGGTTTTAAACAGTAGTAGAGGTAGTAAGCTTAGAGATGTTAAAGCAGTAATTATATAATAATCATTTTCTAGTGTTTGTTTAATTTGTCAAACTAATAATCTTTATAGAAATGTAGTCCTTAAAATCAAGAATTTCTAAGCTTGATTTTCCTGTAGAAACCTTAGCAATGTTTTTCATATACCAAAAATACCCAACTTTATGTTGAGCAACAAAATTTTAAGAATGAGTGCTTTTTCTAGCCACAAGATAACTTAAAATCCAGTGCTTTTACTTATCTGTTATTAAATTTTTACTCTTTGATTTTCTTTCTACAGTTAGCAACACAGATCCTGACAAGAAATGGAAAGCTCATCTTTAATTTCAGATTCAAGAAAGCTTGTTTTATTTTGCTTTAAGAGAATGGTATGTTTTCTTAACTGTAGGTTATTTATAGAGAATATAAAAGTATAAAACATTAAAAATCACCCTAGATATACTTTAAAATAATATTTTGCTAAAATACGTAAATTACACTATATAGCCATATGATAGGTTATTTCTCTAACCTTGGTCTTATAATATTTTACCAAAAATTCAGACTCTAATAGTTTATCAGTTTTCAATGGATTATGTAAAATGGTTACTTTAAAAATAATAAAATTTATCTAATTTAAACTTGATATTATTTTGGTGGTTAGTTATCTATTACTAGTGATCAGTAATATGGTTTTCTATAGCTACTTTATTTAACAGCACAGATTTCTTTTTTTTTTTGAGACGGAGTTTCGCTCTTGTTACCCAGGCTGGAGTGCAATGGCGCGATCTCGGCTCACCGCAACCTCCGCCTTCTGAGTTCAGGCAATTCTCCTGCCTCAGCCTCCTGAGTAGCTGGGATTACAGGCACGTGCCACCATGCCCAGCTAATTTTTTGTATTTTTAGTAGAGACGGGGTTCCACCATGTTGACCAGGATGGTCTCAATCTCTTGACCTCGTGATCCACCCGCCTCGGCCTCCCAAAGTGCTGGGATTATAGGCTTGAGCCACGGTGCCTGGCCTTAACAGCACAGATTTCTATGCACCCTTACTGTTTCCTCATCCCTTGTCTCTATTTGTACATAATCACTTTGTCTTGATGTTTCTATCAACTATATAATAACTATCTATTGGTTCCATAACTCTGTATCATGTGTATTTTCTTCATCTGGTATACCACAAATGATCCATACCAATGAATTTTTGGTGACTGAAAAATATTAAATTCCCAATTTAAAGTATTACATGATAATTATTTCTGTAATCCATTAATGCAACCAACATACTTTCCAAGTTTACATTTTAGCATGTAAATAGTCATCAGCTTATGTATAAATTATATACCAAAAGTTTACATTTAAAGGATTATAAGATAGGGCATTTTTTATATAAGTAATGTTCTTATATAGTGGTTAGGTTCACAAGGTAGTCCACCAATGCTTATTTAACTTATACGGTTATCAAACTCTCATACTAACATAAGCCTAGAATCCTGAGTATACTTTGTTTATTCTTCCCTAATGGGTGAGAATTTAAAAATTTTTTTGTTTATTCATTTGGTTTTGAGACAGAGTCTCTCTCTGTCACCCAGGCTGGAGTACAGTTGCACAATCTCAGCTCACTGTACTCTCTACCTCCCAGGCTCAAGCAATCCTTCCACCTCAGCCTCCTGAATACTGGGACTGCAGGCACACAGCATCACACCTGGCTAATGTTTTTATTTTTTATAGAGACAGAATCTCACTATGTTGTCTAGGCTGGTCTTGAACTCCTGGGCTCAAGCAGTCCTCCTCTCTCCACCTCCCAGAGTGCTAGGATGATAGACATGAGCTTCCACACCCAGCCAGACAAAATTTTTTTAATTTCCTTTGGTAGCTTCCCCTCTTTCTGCCTCTTTTCCCAAGGTCCCTAGCATTTTCATGCCATTCTAATACACTTATTCTCATGCTTTGAAGACCTAGACCCATATTTCTAAAACTATTTCTTATTACAAAATAATTGTAAACTCAAAAGCCACTTAACTGAAAAATAGACAAAGAACTTGAATAGACATTTCTCCAAAGAAGATATACAAGTGGCCCATAGGCACGTGAAAAAGATATTCATCATCACTTACCATTAGATAAATGTAAATCACAACCATGAGATACTGCTTCAGGACCATTAGGATGGCTGTTATTAAAAATTTTTTTAAACAGAAAATGACAAATGTTGGCAAGAATGTGGAGGAACTGGAGCCCTTGTACATTGCTGATAGGAACATAAAATAGTGTAGCCACTATGGAAAACAGTATGGTACTTCCTCAAAAAAACCTGGACTTATCGTATGATCCAGAAATTTCACTTCTGACTATATACCAAAAAAATTAAAAGCAGGGACTTGAACAGAAATTTGTACATCCATGTTCACAGCAACATTATTCACAATAGCCAGAAGGTGGAAGCAGCCTAATGTCCATTGAAAAATGACTGAATAAAATGTATATGCATAGAGCAGAATACTATTTTTCTTCTTAAAAAGGAGGGAAATTCTGACATGTGCTACAACATGGATGAATCTTGAAGACATTATGCTGAGTGATGTAAGTCTGTCACAAGGATAAATACTATATAATAATACTTACAGGAGGTACCAAGAGTAGTCAAATTCATAGAGACAGAAAGGGGGACAAGGAGGAAGGGGAAATGGAAAGTTCGTGCTTGATGTAAGGAGTTTTGCAGTTTAGGCAGATGAAAAAAGTTCTGGGGATAGGTGGTAGCAGTCATTGCAAAACACTGTCAATCTTTATGTCACTGAACGATACTCTGTTGTGTCACTAAATGATAATGTGTTAGCATTCTCAAGAGGGGCAGAACCAATAAGATATGTATATATAAAGGGAGTTTATTAGGGAGAATAGGCTTACACAGTTAGAAGACAAAATCCCACAATAGGCTGTCTGCAAGCTAGGGAAAAAGAGAAGACAGTGTCATGGCTCAGTCCAAATCCAAAGGCCTCAAAACCAGGGAAGTTGACAGTGTAGCAAAGGCTGAAGCCAAGGGCCCCAGAACTGCTGGGAGGCTACTGGTACAAGTGCCAGTGTCCAAAGGCCAAAGAACTAAAGGCCAAAGAATCTGATGTCTAAGAGCAGGAAGAAGCAGATTGGCATGGGAAGAGAGAGGAAGAGCAAGAAAATCCAGCAAGGTGTTTATTCCCCTTCTTCTGCCTGCTTTGTTATAGCCACACTGGCAGCCAGTTGGATGGTGCCCACCCACATGGAGGATGGGTCTTCCCTCTCCCAGTCCACTGACTCAAATGTCAATCTCCTCTGGAAACGCCCTTACAGACACACCTGGAAATGCTTCACCAGCCTTCTTGTCATCCTTCAGTCCAGTCAAGTTGTTCCTTTCCATGTTTAGTTCTTCCTTCACAGCTCTTGTAAGTCAGGCCAGGTGGTGACAAAAATCTCTCAGCATTTGTCTGTAAAGAATTTATTTCACCTTCACTTATGAAGCTTAGTTTGGCTAGATATGAAATTCTGGGTTGAAAATTCTTTAAGAATGTTGAATATTAGCCCCCCACTCTCTTCTAGCTTGTAGGGTTTCTGCCAAGAGATATGCTCTTAGTCTGATGGGCTTCCCTCTGTGGGTAACCCAACCTTTTTCTCTGGCTACCCTTAACGTTTTTTCCTTCATTTCAACCCTGGTGAATCTGAAGATTATGTGTCTTGGGGTTGCTCTTCTTGAGGATTATCTTTGTCTGCTTTGTGCTGGGTACTGGGCCAGGCCCAGGGGATACAAAGGTAAACAAAAGAAGCTCATATTTTAGTTATGAAGACACACAGTTACCAAGTGCTAGAGTAAAAGAAGAGGAGCTAACTTGGCTGAGTTATAGAAAGCTGCTTAGAGGACCCTGAGCTCAGTCTTAAAAGATGGGTACATGGTAGGCAGCCGAAGCTCCGGAGTGTTTGTATGGGAGATGGGAGGAATTTTTCCAATTGGAGGAAATCATGTATGCACATGAACAGATTATGGCAGAGCATCATATGGTTTGGGAAATAATGTATATGACTAGAATTTATGTGGGTGGTTTGTTGATGTCATAGGGATAACAAGAATCCCATGGGAACACAGAAATCACAAACCAATGTATTGTCATCCAGCAGTGCTTCACCCAGGTTAGAGTATATATATATTAGGAATTGAAAAGCAGTTCAGGTTCCAGGGCAGTTCTAGTATTATTTTTTTGTAACCTCACAGTAAGAGTTGGTCCTCTTCTATTAAACGGTGATTTCATTATTCTATTCATTTCTAATACTTCAGACAATTACTTTACCTTCCATTCAGAACACCCAGAAGTTTTTGCTTACTCATTTTCTGTTTATTCAAGAGTTTCCAAAGCCAGCTTGTCATCACCTTTGCCTTCTCTCTGCATATCTTCAGCCTGTCTTTGGCTACTGAGTAGCCCTCTTTGTGTCTCAGGTACCGAGCTCCTCATAGAAAATGACCTGATGGTGTATTTGCTCTCTGTTTGAAAGAATTTTCTTGCCACAGTGTCTTATATGTCACTGACCAGCCTTCATGCTGACTGCTCTGGACCAATCATCTGGATCCAGAAGTTTTATCAGAAGGGCATAGGGATCCCATTGAACAGAGGCAGTGGGGAGGGTAAACATTCTGAGATTTGCTCTTTTCAGTACAGTGGAGGAAGGAGAAAAATAAGAGGTATCAAGGATACTCGAATAGGGGACAAGAGATATGATAAATATTTAAGAAGAGGAATAGCACTTAGAAACCTATTAGATATTGAGAGATGGGGGATCCGGTAGTAAGAGAGAAGTCTACAAGAGTTATAGATTTCTGGCTTGGGCAGCTGGGTAGATGTTGGTAGCCAGATTGAGAGAATAGAGGAAATGGGACAGATAGAGTATAGAAGCGAAGAAAGATACATTTTACTACACATACAAGTTTGAAGTACCAGGAAACATCCAAAGGGAGAAACCTAGTAGACACTCAGATACAGGAACTGCAGCTAAGCAGATAAGCTGTATTTTGTTATAGGTAAAAGAAACATTTCAACAAGCTTATGCAAAAGGGCCAGGCCTGTGAACAAGAACAGATGTTTACATCTCATTAATACAACCCCAAACCTCTCACCTCTATTTATCTTTGCAGGTAAGAGAACCCACAGTCAACTGGCTTCTACACATGATGAAGGACATAGACATGGTTATGGGAACTCTGGGCTTATTATTATTATTATTATTATTATTATTATTATGAGACAGGATCTTGCTTTATCACCCAGGCTGGAGTGCAGTGGCACGAACAAGGCTCACTGCAACCTTTGCCTCCCAGGCTTAAGCGATCTTCCCACCTTAACTCCTGAGTAGCTGGGACCACAGGTGCAGCTACCATGCCTGGCTAATTTTTATTTATTTTTCATTTTTTGTAGAGATAAAGTCTTGCCATGTTGCCCAGGCTGCTGCTTGAACTGAGCTCAAGCAATCCTCCTGCTTCAGTCTCCCAAAGTGCTGGGATTACAGGCATGAGCCACCATGCCTGGGCTCTAGGCTCACATTCTAAATACTCTATAACTAGCAGAGAAAGCTGATTTGTCTAGCTTCAAGATGAAAAATCCTAGGGGAAGAACTCAGTGATTTGTAC